TTTTATTTTTTTTTGTAATTAAACTTTTTTTTGAGATAAATGCAGATTCACATGCAGTTGTAAAAAAATAACATAGTAATCTCATGTACCCTTTACCCAATTTCCCCCAATGACATTGCAAAACTATAGTACAAGAGCACAATCAGAATATTGGCATTATTATAGTTATAATACAAAACATTTCTGTCACCACAGGATCCCTCATGTTGCCCTTTTATTGCCATAGCTACTTTCTTCCCTCCTACCCCTAATCCCTCCTTAACCTTTGACAACCACTAATCTGTTCTCCATTTCTATAGTTTTGTCATTTCAAGAATCCTATATAATAAAAGAGAAATATATAAATTGACCCTCCCTCCGCTGTGCTCACCAGCCAATCAGGAGTGAGTATGCAAAGTATGCCATCTTTGTTGGGTTAATTTGCAAACACAGGCGCCAAGCGGCTTGGGTCCCCAGAACATCCTCGGGACCCAGGCCACTCCTACCCTGTAGGCCTGCGCGTAGGCCTGAGTGGCGGGGGTCCCAGAAGGCCCCCAGCCACTCTGGGCCTATGGGCACAGGTGCCAAGTGGATGTTCCCGCCCCATCGCCACCTGCACGTGTGCCAGCGCCAAGCGGCAGCCCAGATCCACGCCCCCGAGCCTGGCGCCCACAATGCGGGGTTGCCGGTCTGGGAGGTGTGCACCTGGCAGCAGTGGCCGCTGTGCTGCCTGGGTCTGCACGCCCTTCAGCCCAGCGCCCACAACATGGGGCTGGCTGCTAGCCTTGGGGGCGTGACCCTCACCACTACTCCTCTAGCAGTGGGGACATGCCCCTAGCCCAGTGGATACAATGCAGGGGGTCCTCTGCACATGAGCTGCAGAGGAAACACCTGTTCTTTTTTTTAAATATGTTTTATTGATTTTTTTACAGAGAAGAGGGGAGAGAAATAGACAGTTGGAAACATCAATGAGAGAGAAACATCGATCAGCTGACTCCTGCACCCTCCCCAATGGGGATGTGCCCCCAACCAAAGCACATGCCCTTAACAGGAATCAAACCTGGGACCCTTCAGTCTGCAGGCCGACGCTCTATCCACTGAGCCAAACCAGTTCGAGCATAAAAACCTTTTCTGACAACTCATTGGCTAAGCTCCCTGTACACTGCCACTTGCAGTGTTCTTGGTAACTTGGGTTATAAGAATCCAAGAAGGTGATCTAGGGTTTTTCCACCTCACTCCTGGAGGAAGAAATGAAGGTCCACTGCTGGAGGAGCTAAGAAATGTCATATCCTGCCCTAGCCAGTTTGGCTCAGTGGATAGAGCCTCGGCTTGCCGACCGCAAGGTCCAGGTTTGATTATGATCAAGGGCATGTACCTAGGTTGAAGGCTCCTCCCTGGCCGGGGCCCAGGTCAGGGCTCATGCAGAAGGCAACCAATCAAAGTGTTCCTCTCACTTTGATGTTTCTCTCTGTCTTTCCCTTTCTCTTCCACATTCTCTAAAAATCAATGGAAACATATCCTCAGGTGAGGATAAAAAAAAAGAAATGTCATATCCTATGAAAGACACATCTTGAAAATGCCTAAGGAAAGTTGTCATTTTTTCATGGAGAAGGGCCTAGAGTCCATGTTGATGAAACACTTGGTGGCCATGAGGGTTGAGGGCCAGCAGCTATGGTGGCCAGTAGTGGCAGCTACAGTGGGGTGATAGGGGCAGCACCTTTCAAACACCTTGGCAACTGCGGTGGCTGGCAGTGGCTGCAGCAGCAGGGTGATGGGGCTGGCGCCTTCCCCTGATCAGCCCGGTCACCTCCTGAAGAGGGAGGCCAGACTGCAGCTTAGGCCACAGGGAGTGGACCTAAGCTGTCAATAGTACATCCCCTGAGGGCTCCCAGTCTGTGAGACGGGGCAGGCTGGGCTGAGGGAAACCACCCCCCCACCCCACCCCACCGTGCATGAATTTTGTGCACAGGGCCCCTTGTGTTATATAAATGGAATCATACAGTCTGGAACCTCTTCAGATAGGGTTTTTCAGCCAATATAATCCTCTGGGTATTCATCAAGTTTGTTACATGTATCAATAGTTCATTTACTGTTATTGCTTAATAACATTCCATAGTATGACTTACCACAGTTTATTTAGCTATACACTCTTTGAAGGATATCTGGGTTGTTTCTAATTTTGGGCTATTACAAATAAAACTGCTATAAACATTTGTGTTTGGATTTTTGCATTAATCAAATTTCTAATTTCTCAAAGCATGCTTTTGCCAACTCCAATATATAAATCAAACCATGATGCTATATGGCTTAAATTTATATAGTGACGATATCAATTATTTCTCAATAAAACTGGAAATTTTTAGGGAAAACAAAATAAAATTTAAAAGATTTTAAAAAGATACAAGTAAGATATTGGTTATCTCTGACTACTCAAGTAATGGGTGATTTGGGAGATTACTTTCTTGGTGCCTGTTTTCTCAAAAGTTTAATATTTGAGCATGTATAACTTTCTTATAGTAATTAGAAAATCACAACTCCAAAAACACTAATTGTGAAATGTTTTAAGTACAGCAATGTTTTAAATACACCTAAATATTTCTTTTTTCCTTTTTTACATTTTTTTATCATATGATTTTCATTTGGCTCAAAAATTAAGAAAAGTTTTTTAAATTATACAGATAACTAAGAGAAAATACAGATAAATTTTAGCACATACAGGGACTTGTGGCTATTTCCTATCATCATTTACTCTATTGTCTGGCATAGAGGAACTGGTCAAATTTTGATATAATAAAAATTCAAAACAAAATTAAAAAAATACTCACTCTGGCCCTAGCCAGTTTGGCTCAGGGAATAGAATGTTGGCCTGTGGACTTGAAGAGTCCCAGATTCAATTCGGGTTGCAGGCTCGATGCCCAGTAGAGGGTGTGTAGGAGGCAGCAGATCAATGATTCTCATTGATGTTTCTATCTCTCCCTCTCTTTCTCTCTGAAATCAAGAAAAATATTTTTTATAAATAAAAAATACTCACTCTGAAGCCCCTCTTACTGGTCCAGGTACCATTTCCCACCTGGCATCTTTCCCAGTCATCCAGATCTTTCACACATATACAATTTTATACTTTTCCAAAAGTATTATCACTTAAGCCATGTTACAGGATCCTAGGGTGGGATGTACCCAGGTCTCTCTTCACCTCCCTGGGAGAAGGGTGAAGGACAGAGACAGGTGGGGTACAACCAATTCAGATCTTCCCAAGAAATACGCCTTTTGCCCGGCCGTCATCCCAGGTCAACACCCAGGATATGAAGCAAAAGGACTTGTATACACACCCGTACCATTCGCACATGGAGACATCAACCCCTTTAGCAGTCTGCCTTCTCACGGGATGGAAGTCCAGATATTTCTGCCAACAGTTTCTGGTCTGGTTCTGGTTGGGGAAGCAGCTGTCAAAGGGGTAATCTGGTAGTTATTGATTTTGATCTTGATGTCTTCTGCCATGTAGCTGACTCCTAAAGATGCCCCTGAAGCCACTTGCAGTTCAGTGCATGTATCAATAGTTACATTGATGCCTCAGTCTGACCATAACAGCAAAATGGGAGTGGAGTGTGGAACCAGATGGTCTCCAGGGTATCCCCCAACTCTAAATTTGGTACCTATTACCAAATAGAATTGAGACCTAAATACATATAAATATTTCTCTTTTTTAATATATTTTTATTGACTTCAGAGAGGAAGGGAGAGAGATATATAGAAACATCAATGATGCGAGAGAATCATTGATCAGCTGCCTCCTGAACTCCCCACGCTGTGGATTGAACCCACAACCTGGGCATATGCCCTGACCGAGAATCAAACTGTGACCTCTTGGTTCATAGGTCGATGCTCAACCACTGGGCCACACCGGCCGGGCATATAAATATTTCTAATGAAAAATAAATGTATGTTCATAAATACCACCTAAAAATAAAAGTTACTCAAAGCTTTTTTTCTTAATGAAGCATAACCCTGGACAGGTAGCTCAGTTGGTTAGAGCATCATCCCAATAAGCCAAGGTTGTGGTTTGATCCCCAGTCAGGGCACACACAGGAACATCCAAAAATAAACCAATGAATGCAAAAATAAGTAGAACAACAAAAAAAGGATCGTTCTCTCTCTCCTTCCTTTCTCCCCTCCCTCTCTCTAAAGTCAATATATTGGAAAGAAGCATGACTTTTTTTGCATGACTTTAATTGTTCATAATAATTTGAAATGTTGGCTTGTACAAGAGGTGATATCAAAAGCTGAGAAAATAGATTTATTTGTTTTTCTCTTAAGCAACAGTGGAAATTCTGAAGTCAATTTTCAGTATTTTAAATAATGTAGAGTAGGATTGTTTTCTAGGTTGGCCATAAACCAGTTGTTTAATTAACATCTAATACATTCTAATAAATCTTGTAAGCCTCATAGCTTAATATGGAATACAGATATTTAAACTTGAACTTTTTAACATATCTTCACAGTGTAAATTTTCAGACAAAGTGACTATTAAGGAAGAAAAAGAAAATATGCATGAAGTTTGCAAAAGGTCTGTAACAATTTTTAAATCTGTAACTTTAAGACAGTTATTCATATGATTTGCATCTTGAGTATGTTTTTCATTCTGTGCTGTATGTGCTTGGACTACTATGCCATAAGCCACACATGGGCATTATTTAATTAATATGTCAGTTATACCTAGATGTCAGGGATATTGTAAGTTACCTTAAAACTGTCACTAAGTTTTTTGAGTCCTTAAAATAGTTTTTGAGAAAGGTATAAGGAATAATGATCTATATAATAAAGATGTAATATGCAAATGGTTGTTACATAATGACCAACCACTTAACGACTGGATCACAGATCAGCAGGAGGGTGGCGCAGCGAGCTACAAGGGGGTGGAGGAGAGCTACAGGAGGGGGCAGGGCAGCAAGCTATGAGGGGAGCAGAGAGAGTGGTGGGGGGAGCAACAGGGGAGTGGCAGCGAGCTACTGGCGCACGGATTTGTGCACAGGGCTACTAGTAAAAGAATAAGGACTATGTATGTGACTTTTATGATGGTAAGAATGGAGGCAATCAGGTGAACATTGCAGTTTGCAGGTATTTACGTGACTGCAGTGATTAGTACTGAGAGCTACAGTACACTTACTAGAACATATATAGGCACCAAATGTAGGGTTGGAGGATGCCTTGGAGACCATCTGGTCCCATCCTCCACCCCCATTTTGCTGTTGTGGCCAGAGCACACTCAGATCAGGTGATGAATATGTTCAAGTCTTTTATGTTAAGCCAGTGGGTTTCTTTTTTTAAAAATATATTTTTATTGATTTCAGAGAGGAAAGGGAGAGAGAGAGAGAAACATCAACGATGAGAGAAAATCAGTGATTGGCTGCCTCCTACATGCCCCCAACTGGGGATTAAGCCTGCAACCCGGGCATGTGCCCTTGCCCGGAATCAAATCTCGAACCCTTCAGCCCACAAGTGCATGCTCTATCCATTGAGCAAACCAGCTAGGACAGCCAGTGGTTTTCAAAGTGTGATTCTTGGAGCAGCATCATAGGGGAACTTGTCAGAAATACAAATTATTGGGTCCCATTCCTGACCTCCCAAACTCTGGAGATGGGGCCCATGAATCTGTTTCAATATGGCCATCAGCTGATCCAGATTCATGCTAAAGTTTGGGAACCATTGTATTAAGGAAAAGCCTAGGTCAAAATTAGATTGGCACAGAAGCCCTTTTGATTCATGACTATTTGGAGATCTTAAAGAAAAACTAACAGGGTTAACTTTTCTATTGAAAGCATTCTGCTTACAAATAAAGTGTCATTGCATCCTGCAGAGTTATATTATCACTTTGGCTCTGCCATAATGACCAGGAGTGTGACCATTAACCTGTGCTTTAGTGATCCAATCAAAAATAAAAGAATTTTACTAGAGAATCTTTTCCATCTATAAAATTCCATAATTCCTATTTCTTTGTTTTATGTTACTACTTTTGTTTTATTTGAAGAGGAGTTATGTTGATTGCACACTAATGTCCCAAGTTGGGAAGAGAACTATGTTTTATATGTATTTTTTTAATTAAACTCCATTGGTGCTAAGTTTCAACTATTATTAAGTGTGGGCCCCTTTTCTTACTATTTTTATTCTCTTTTGGCCTGGGGAACCCCAGTTGGAAATGCTTATTAGAACTGTTTTTTAGATAAAATATTATAGTATCTGAGTGATCTTCTAAAAAGGAAATTCACTTATATTTGTCAGTTCTGAGATGCTTCCCAGCCTCCCCCTTGCTTAAGTTATTTCTTTTTCTAGATAAGTTTCTAGATAAGTTCAGGTTAAGTTTTTCTAAAATTGGTTATATAGAATCTCATATATTAGAATATAGTCAAAGCTGTTTAAATGAGCAACCAAGAAAAATACATTTTTTAAACTTCTTCCCAAAGGAAGCTCCCAAGTACATGTATAAATTTATTATATATACTTGTCCTGAAGAATAATTTATAATTTATTTTATTGCACTCTCAATAGAGTAATTGAATGATCTTTTCTGGATTGGAACACTAGGCCAGTCCTTCTTCAAACCTTTTGTCTGGCATGATCAAAAATATTTTGCTTTAGTTTTAATTCCACCACCTAATTCCTATCCCTGTCCCAGTCATTTAACAAGCTTTGGTTTTCTAGCTAAGAAGGTAGAAACAACCTGTTAAAAATACTGAATAATTGGCCCTGGCCAGGTATCTTGGTTAGGGCGTCATCCCAATATGCCAAGGTTGTGGGTTTGATCCCTGGTCAAGGCATATACAAGAATCAGCCAGTGACGTGACCAGTATGGCTCAATGGTTGAGTGTCGACCCATGAACCAGAAGGTCTTCGATGGATTCCTGGTCAGGGCATATCCCAGGTTTCAGGCTCAATCCCTAGTAGGGGGTGTTTAGGAGGCAGCTAATGAATGATTCTCTCTCATCATTGATTTTTCTCTCTCTCCTTCTCCCTTCCTTTCTCTGAAATCAATAAAAACATATTTTTTTAAAGAATCAATCAATGAATACATAAAGTGGAACAACAAATGTCTCAATCTCTCTCCCTTCCTCTCTCGAGCTAATAATCTATAAATACCAGATAATCAAAGTATAATAATAGTATATAGGAATATATAGCATTAGGTTGTATTCCTTAATTTTATTCTCATTACTTTGTTTTTGGAATAAACTTAAATTGTGATTTTGTTTTTTCTGCTCACACAGCAAAGATTCTAAAAATGCAGAGATTATGGTTAGTGAATGTCAGTTAGCAACACTGGGCCCAAAACCTCTGTGCTTATCGCTGCCACCTTTGAATCTAAGTGCTTTTCAAGAAGACACACTAAAGCCATGGATGAATGGTACTATTTTCTCAATAAAATTATGTTGGCTTTTGATAATATAGAAACTATATAGGAGATTTTTCTACTAAAAACAAAAAAGTAAAAAAAATTAAAATAGAATATATTAAAATTAAAGGATGTGTACATTTAGTACTTTTGATGGAATAATTTCTGAAGTATGTATTTATGTGATATTGGTAATACAAGCAAATGATAGGTTATACCTAAAATTTCATACTTTAGTTGATTATTTAGAATATATTTTAGAATGTGTCAGTTCTTTTAATTCATAATGCTTTGATAAAAATAAGCTAGATTGAAGAATGAATTTAGAAACAATAAAATGTTTTTGTGCAGCTCACACCTAACTCTTCTGTACCTTCACACTACTGACTTCATGCAACCTGTTATATACTATAGCAACAAGCCCATGATGGTCATGTATTTTATCTTGAAAATCTTTCAGGTTTCATAATGAAAATTACTGCAAAGCTATGCAGTGAAAGTTTTAGCTTGTTCCAAATGATATCTGGATGCTGCCCCCCAAAAAAGAAATCATTTAAAATTTAAAAAATTTTTATCTTTAGAAAAAATTTTTTTAAGATCCTCTTATTTTAAAAGACCAACATTAAGGAATATGATGCCTAATATATTCATCAGCTCAAGCTGCAATAACCAAATACCACAGACTAGGTGGCTTAACCCTTTGAGTGCCAACCAATATCCTAGGAACTTTGCTAAAATTACCAAGGCATTTTTGCTGATTTTACAGCAGTTTAGGAAAAAAATTATGAATCACAAGTAAATGAAGTTACATATTCAAAAACTTAAGGAAACCTTTACTACATTGACATATTTAGCAATATCACCATCACTAATAAAAGCAGACTTAGAACTGGATGCTATTTCGAAGCTTTGATGGCGCTCCCAGGCACTCAAGGGGTTAAACAACAGAAATTTATTTTGCATGGTTCTGGAGGCTAGAAGTCCAAGATCAAGGTTCTAGCAGGGTTCAGTTCCTGGCTCACATGGCCTTTCCTTTGGTACATGTGTATAGAGAGAGTAAGCTCTCTGGTGTCTCTTCTTATAAAGACACTAATTCTATCAGACCAGGGCCTCACCCTTTTGACCCAATTTAAACCTTAATACTTCCTTAAAAAGCCCTATCTCCAAATGAAGTCACAGTGGGGGTTAGGGCTTGAACATATGAATTTGAGGGAGGTTACAGTTCAGTCTGAAGCACCTGGGATGTCAGTAGCTTTCTTTCCTTAGAAAAATTTATTGTGCAACCAAAGACCTTATACGCATATATGCGTAACCCATGGGCACGGACAATAGGGTGGTGGAGGCCTGAGGCACAGGGCGGGGGAGGAAAAAAGGGGACATATGTAATACTTTCATCAATAAAGAATTATTTTAAAGAGTATGATTGTGTAAAGTATAAGGTATAATACTTCTCTGTTTAATTTAGAGATAATCATTTGAATGCAGTGCTCAATGCTGCTGTGTAAGGCTTTTAAGAAAGTATCTTCAAAAATAAAAAGAAAGTATCTTTAGCTTAGAATAAATTTTAAATTTAGGTCTGAAAATACTTAAAGAGCACCTAATCTGTAAATCATTCTGTATTTCACAGAACACCCATGGCAGCACAGTCAATGAATTGAGCATGAATAGAGTCCCAAGTAAAACTTTAAAAGCAGACAGTAGTGGTCATCTGTTTTATTGTATAAAAGAAATAAGTTGTAACCTATTGGTGTATAATGTCATTCTTAATTATTTGTAGATTTCAGATTTTCAGGACAACATTGTGTCCTAAAGTTGCAGAACCCTGAAACCTGTGAAATATTTAACAGGGAAAAGGTTGTAAGGGTAAGTCCCACATTTTAAAAAAGTAATCTGCCGAGCCGGAGTGGCTCAGTTGCTTAAGTGTCATTCTGTGCACCTAAAGGTAGCTGGTTCCATTACAGATCAGGGCACATACCTGGGTTTCGAGTTTGAACCCCCAGGGGCAACTGATCGATGTTTCTCTCTCACATCGGGGTGTGTGTGTGTGTGTGTGTGTCTCCCTCCCTCCCTCCCTCCCGTCTCTCTAAACATGTTCTCGGTAAAGATTAAAAATAATAAAAAATAATAATCTTATAAAACACATACTTTAGGCTTTTCTGGTTGTATTTCCCTATCATTTTTTAACCAGTTCCAGATATTGTATGGATTTTTTTGAATTGGGGTTGGTGGTAAAGAGGCAGAAAATTTGTTGTGATTCAGAAGATATTTATAAATAACATAAGAGGTTGAAAGCAGAAGAGGGGGTAGATATCCAAAATGGAAAATACGGGATTAAAAAAAAAAGAAAATATGGGATAAATATTCCCTATGATGAAAGGGAATAGTGATATAGAAGTTTGTCACAGAAAGATTTGACTATCATTTGACTTCTTCTGTTCATCTGAAAAGCTAAGGAAAATTTTGGTTCTAATAAATACATTTGAAATATGATGCATATTATAATAAAATTAACTTTTTCTGAAAGCAAAAGGAGGCAAGCTACACAAGGAAGAGGGACTATATCAGCTTTTTAAGAGATACAAAGTAAAGCACTAACTTCGAGAATACTTTACAACTAAAGGAAATTGCAAAAATTTAGACAACTCACTTTAATTGATTTTTCATAATTTTTGAAATGTAAATTGTTTGAAGCTTTATTTTTTATCAAGTCAGCAAGCAATTTATTTTGATACTGTTTTTGGGTATATATTTCTGATTGTTTCAAATGTTTTCTCACTTGACTATAATAAGTATTTTATATTTAACACAGAAAGGGAATTTGTCTTATTTTCTAGGTGTTTCAGAAGTCCCTAGGGTTGATGATACCCCATAGATATTGCAAATTTCATTTTAACACGTTACGTGGCTGTGAGCGATCACAGTGTAAGTTTGCTCACGTGCCTGAGCAAGGGGATGAAAAGGTAAAGTATGTAAAGTCTGGTCAGTGTTTTATCTTTGAGTCAATAAATGGTTATTTTTTAAATGACCTAAATAAGACTTATTATAATGTTCAAGGATTTTCCTCCCTTCTGCAGTTGCTTATAATCTTGATTGTTTCCTTGACTCTTTCTTTGACAGAGATTCTCTAATTACTGTTTTTGTAATTAATTCAGCATGTATTTCAGATCTGAACTAACCTAACATCAGCTTCTTTATTCCATTGCTTGAAATTCACTTTTAAACAAATGGAATAAGCATAAAGATAGGATTGAAATTTGTATAGTTTTTATGAAATATCAAAAGGTAATTTTACATTTTTCACAACTTGCAGGTTTGCATGGATGTGCTTAAAAAATATATAAGCATCAACGAGCTGTGTTTGCTACAACGTGCAGGTATGAGACAATGAAATGACTACTCTAAATTCATTAATGTGTTTCAAACCATGTATCATTGTATTTTATAGTTTGAAAGTAATTTAGTACTTTTAAGTATGAAAACCAAATGCTTTAGAATAGTTCTGTTGGTCTTAGAAAGAATTAAAAATAAGTGCCCTGGCTGGGTAGCTCAGTTGTTGGAGCATTATCCTGTACACCAAAAAGTTGCAGGTTCGATTCCCAGTCAGGGCATATACCTAGGTTGTGGGTTCGATCCCCAATCGGGGTATGTATGGGGAAGGCATCCAATCGATGTTCCTCTCTCACATAGATGTTTCTCTCTGTCTCTCCCTTCTTCTCTCTCTAAAAATCAATAAAAATATATCCTTGGGTGAGAATCCTATATAATAAAAGTCTAATATGCAAATTGTCCCCTTGGGTGGTAGTTCGACTGGGATACCGGGAGTTCAACTGCTCACTATGACGTGCGCTGACCACCAGGGGGTGGCGCAGAACATGGCAGGTGTTGGCAACACGCTGCAACCTCTCACCAGCTACCTGGGGGCAGAGGTGATAGGGATGGAGGTGTGGTAAGGATGTGGGGGAGAGAGGGGGCCCGCCGAGCTCACTCTCACTCCCCCTGCTACCCTTCCCCAGGATGCCAGGGCTCGCACTTCAGGGAAGCCCCCCCGCTCAGGTGCCCCCCCCCCCCGCACTCAGGTGCCAGGCACCCATGAGGAGCCCACCCTGCACCCACATGGTGTCTTCCAGGTGAACCGGGTTGCAGCCACCAGGACCACAGGGGCTAGTTGGGCTCCCCCTGGGTTCGCGCAGGAGCCGATTTGCGAGGCAGGCTGGAAGAGAGTGCACTGCCCACCCGGCTTCTGTGCGGCGCCACTGGGTGGCCCAGCTCGCAATGTCCAGCCATGCTCACCGCATCTCCATGTGGGGACTTGAGCACAGTAACTTAGGTGGAGGGGGATGCGTGGGGACCCAGAGACCCAGGTGCTGCCCAGGACCCAGAGGTCAGCTGGGACCTGCCCTTCCATACCAGATGCTCACGCTTCGATCACTGGCCAGGCCAAGGGGCTGCACCATGCACTAATTTTGTGCACCAGGCCTCTAGTTTAAAAATAAAATAAAAGGAGAAACTATATTAACACTTTAATAATTTAAATTTTTAAGTATTTAATGTCAAAAAGGAGGGATGCATGTCAATTAGTGGACTATAACACTAGCTAACAAGTTCTTTGCAACTATACCTTCTTTTTTAAACATCTGCAGTTTCAGTTTTATTAATAAGTTACAGTAGCAGACATTGAATTTCCCATGTTATCTGTAATCTGCTTCTTATTTAGGCAACTATACAGATATTGCAAAGTGAATAGCCGGAAGAATTTTTCTGTATGTGCCAGGAAAAAAATTGAAGTATATAAAGAAACTTTGGAATAAAGCTGAATGTTTTCATAATGTATTAGTACAATGTATTAGTACATTTTTAGTACAATGTTCATAATCATAAGCTGGAATAAAAAATATCCTCAAGGTCAACATGTTGGCGGAGTTAAAACAACAAAAAGGGGTATATGTCAAAATATAGTCTGCATCCAACCCCAAATTATATAGTTTGTCATACATGACCAGGCCATTGCCTGAAGACTCCCTAGGAGTGAGGCTTCCTGGAAGTTCATATTGAGACCATGATGTATGAGGCAGTTTGGACCTATTTTTTGTGGAGAGCCCATGAGTTAGTTTTCAATCTAGTTCCTAACATGCCTTGTTGGCTTCAAATGTCATTGCCATTAACTTTTGCTTTAAATTACAGTGGAACCTCGTTTTTTGAACTTAATTCATTCCGGAAAGCTGTTGGAAAACCAAATTATTTTTCCCATTAGAAATAATGTAAATTGAATTAATCCATTCCAGACTCCCAAATGGTTCCTTGCTTTAACCTTTCGTATATACAGTACATGTGTAGTGTACTATTTAATCTATAAATAAGCACTTGAAAAACAAAAAGGACATGAAATATAAATGAAATTTTAACAAAAAGAAAGGAAATGTAAAAAGTGAAAATTTAATAATAATTATAAGCAGCAACAAAAACAAAAAAACGCAAAAATATTCACAGCACAACAGTCTGAGACTTTAACAGTGGTAAAATGACCCATACTCACCCATTCTCTCCTTTTGTTTATCCCGGAGAGATGCATGACTAATCATACAGGCATCAGCATGAAAGGGTTGTCAGTGAGAAGCAAACTGTTTGAGATGGGAGACATTCGAGAATCGAGGTTTGACTGTATTTTCATCAAATATTTCTGATACTGGAAATGTACCCTTTAAGAAAATGAATTTCTACTACTTAGTCTTTAAAAATAGAAAAATTGTCCAATTTAGGAAAGATGAATATCTTAAAAGTAGCAAATGACTAATATATTTTTTTCATTTTCAGTAAACATGTTTACAGAGTACTACAGAAAGTTTCCTCCTGGTATACACTTTGATTTACAAGTGCTAAATGACCTCTTGAATTCTTTACTCAAGCATTGCTTATTGAAAGAAGTATTTCAGGTACTGAACCTCAGCATAATGGTTAACACGCTGGTAAGTAACCTAAAAATATATTATTTTTAATAACTTAATTCCTCTATTATAGTTCTTGTTTATATAATTTAAGTTATAATTTCCACATTTGTTGACTACTTCCTAGAAAACACTTTTTTTCAGCATAAATTAGAGACATTTAAAATGTACTGAAAGAAGACATGAACATGAGTGTAATTTTTTTGTTTTATCCAGCCTGCTCTGAAAATATTACTAGAAATATTTGAGTATGTGGCAACTATGAAATTAAGGAGTGCTGTACCTGCTTTAATTGGTATCTTTTGCAAGGTATGATTTTATTTTGTCTCTTTTATTCTCTGGTAGTGAATAATCAATTAAAAGAAAATGATTTAGAAAGAAATAATGATTTTTCAAAAAAATAATGATTTCTGCTTACACTCTTAAACTGTCTTTTATTCACATTCTTAATGCCAAGAATTCTATTTTTAGAAATGTTTCTTTTCTCCTGAAATAGGGTTTATAAACAGACTCCAGTGACTGACAGGCCTTCCCTTTAAATAAATAGTTCCACGCACTTCAGGTGACTTCTTTCTGATTTGTAAACTATCCTCATATCTACACCTTAAGGATAATTATAGAACATTTTCCTCTTACAAAAAATTTGAGGTCATTTCTAATAAAAATAAATGTATAAGTAAATATACAAATAGAAAGTCATGACCAGAACAAAGTAAATGGAAAATGGTAGCTAGTAATTAATTTTATATTTGGCATAAACAAAAAAATATGGCTCTCTAAAAATATATTAAAATTTTTACTTAGGTTGAATACTTCCTTGGATTTGTACTGCCCCGCCATTTATTTCTGAATAGGCCTAATAGCCAGAAAACCCCTCATTTTCTTTGGGAAGCAGCACTGGAACTACTCTAGCTAATGAACAGATATTTCAATGAATACCTCTAGTTCCACATTACAAAACTTGACAGAATTACTTGCCTGGAAAATTTTTTAATCAGATATTACTGATCACCTCTAGGAGTTGTAGAAAACCTCAGTATGATACTTCTCAGGAAGTTTACAATCAGGGATAAGGTATACATCAATGCTTTACTACAGGTGGGATGAGTGAAAAGAAGGGGTAAAGTGACAAAATTGTTGAGATAACTTGGAGAACAGGAAGAATATTCAAGTTTAAAGTTCAAATCACAGCTTTCTTTTTGCTTTAAATTCTTGAAGTCGGGTGTCTTATTATGGTTTCCAAGTATTTGAAGAAAGTATGGTTTAAATTTTTTAAGGAGTGTTAATTCTCCTTGTCAATGTTTCGCTTTCCGCATCACTCTCTTGGTTGTTTCACACACTTTGTGGTTTTCAACGCTTTCATATTTTTATTAGAATGACTATGGTAAAGATAAAAATATATATATATTTTTTTTCCTCTCTTCTTCAGCTTGTTGAAGCTGGGCTGTTGCTTGACCCAGAACACTTTAGCTATATTGTTAAACTCTTACACCAAGTACAAGCTCCCAAACAAGAAATAACTGCGGTTCTAGAAATGAAATCCAGGTAAGAATCACTATAATTAAGGCGTGCGTGTGCGTGTGTGTGTGTGTGTGCGTGTGTGTGTGTGTTGGTGGGGACTTATAAAGGATGAAGGCAAAGCACTTATCGCTATTCACACGTGCAAACATCTAGTTACACAGTGTACGCCTTAAGCCTTTCTCCCGTCTCTTGTTCATGTCTTAGTTACACTGCCATTAGTCAAGCTGCCTCTAGCCAACTTTCCTGGCCAGCCTCACCAGATCATTCTCAGTACCTGATTTCATCTCAGTGCCTGGTACATTAAGTGTAAAAGGAATCTCTCTTATCCTCTGGTTCACAACTTAATTCTTATTGTGCTCTCATATATGTATATAAATTACCTTAATAATTTTTTCTTTTTCACTCTTGTCATGTAAGCTAAGTAAAATATTTTAGTTCCTCTCTTCCATTCTTTTTCTCACTGCTTGCTTTTTCTGTTCAACTTATGGCCTTCCAAAGCCCTTTAAAAAAAACTATGATAATTATAAGGGTAGTACCATAATATATCTGTATTGAGTAAAAGAAAGGCCATAAGGTGTTTTTTTTAATTACTAAACTGTACATACAAAAAGAATAGCCTCCAAATTATGTTATTCTTCCCCTGAGCTAGAGGCTCATTGCTGCTGAAGTGTCATTGCAGCCAGGTCTTGTCAGTGGACAGAGCTAGGAAAGATATTATATATGCATATGAAAATATGTAAATATATGTATTGGAAATATGTGTATACAAAATACACATAACAAAATATTTCTCTTTGTATCCATATTAAAAAACAGTTCAGACTGATGGCTTGATTCTAATCCAACACTATGGGTTTATTTTAGCCTTTTCTTATTTATAAATTTTTCTCTGACAGTAAGAAATCTGATTCTCATTATCTACAATATGTTTATTCATTTATTCAATCCTACTATCTATCCACATAAAGTAGTCTCAGAACTGCTAACTTATACCCCTGGGGAGAGGGATTACTATCTCGAGTTCAGTATTAGTAAAAGCTATTTTTTCTTTTGCCTTACAGCATTCAGCCAAAATACTATTTCCTACATTAACTTAAGGTAGTTCTTTTTTCCCCTACTCTCATTCAGTATGGTTATTGTAGAATATTTAGGTTTATTTGTTACTGTTTGTACTATGTTTTGGAGTTCTTCTACATCCTAGTTAGTTTTATTTAGGGAGGTATATAAAACATTATTGTTACTTGTAAGAATCAAAGCTGTACTAAAAAGTATTCAGTGAAAAGAGTTGCTCCTCCTTACCCCTACTTCCCATTTCCATTCCCTCCTTCCTTCTACTCCTTTTTTTACCTACACATTGGAAGGAACCAGTCTTTTAGTTTCTGGTTAATCCTTCTTATTCTGAGCAAATATATATATATTTACCTTCACTTCTTTCTCACATAAAGTATAACATACAAAAAGTATTCTTTACAACTTTGCTTTTTTCATCAAACAGTATATCTTGGAAATCAATCAATTCATAGAGAAATTCATCACTTTTTATAAATGCAAAATACTCCATTGTGTGGATGTATGATAAGTAACTGGTATTTCAGTTCTCTCCAATTTGTTGCAATAAAAATGGCACTTGTTTGTTGATTTATTGATGGTAGCCATTCTCTGATGTTTAGTGACATTGAGTATTTTTTATAGGTCTATTGCAACACTCTTAGTTTAATGGTACCTTTTTCTTTCCCTTTTTTCTTCTTTTCCTCTTTGCAATTGCCAAAGGTTGCTTCTCCTTTCCATTTTTATCTTTTTGTCCTTTCCCAAAAGCTATGCATTTCAAATTGTCTTCTTTAAATCATGTAAAATTTTTTAAGTTCCTTCTGTGTGCTCTGTGTTCTACCTACCCATACACTTTTTTCCCCCAGCATTTTTAAACTTGGTGTGGACTTAGACTTTGTAGTGTTGTTTTTTTAATATTTCTTGACTTTTAGAGAGATAGGAAGGGAAGAGCGATAGATAAAAGCATCAATGAGAGAGAAACATTGTCTGCCTCACACATGCCCCCCACTGGTGACCGAGCCCACAATTGGGGCAACGCCCTGACTGGGAATCGAACCAGTGACCTTTTGGCTCAGGGGTGGACACTCAACCACTGAGCCACACCAGCCAGACTATAGTGGTATTTTTTTTTTTAATCAATGTTAGATCCCTCTGGTAGTTCCCATTTTTTATTCTCCCCACAGGTTTGTTTGGTTTTTTTTGGGGGGGGGGGGCGTTGTTTTTTGTTTTTGCATTGTTTTTGTTTTAGTCTGACTTTGCTTGTGGAGCAGTGAAAGTGGAGTGGGAACAGTAGAGATCAAGGGCATCAATTGCTGTGATTTAATACTTTTTCTCTTTTTATTCACCATTATTTTGAAGCTTTGGCATTCTGACTTCCAAGTTAGGCTTAAGGTATGGTTTTGTGTGGGATTTCCTTTGTCCTTATTGTTGCCCATGGTTTGAGGAGGAAATAGTGTGAAGTAGATATTTATGCAGTAGACATTTTTTTTAGCTCTAACGACTTTTTAGAGTATATTAATGCATTCTTTTTCCTCCAGTCTCTTAGGTATAAACTGTAAAATAAATGAATTAGGAGCAATAGTGACTTTTGGGGGAACAAATGACACTTTAATTAACACTTTCCTCTATTGTTAAAGGTTACAAATGAGGCAATTTAAAAAGAACTGGACCTGTGATTTAGATTTAGCCTTGAATGAAATAAAGGTATGACACTTACTTTTTGAATAAATTGCTGGGATCATTGCTCAGAAACTTTGAATAATAAACCCATTTTAGGAAATGTTTTAGAAATGTGGCTGTTATACAGAGAAAAAATGATCAAGGGAAAGAAAGTTTAATTTTTTTTAATACTTTGAAATGCAAACATAATTTCTAGAATTGTGGACTATCCAAAAAGTAATTCTGGAAATAATTAGTTTCAAAATTAACTTACGTTAAGGTGTAATAATCTAGAGCTTAGCCTTTATCTATCTATCTATCTATCTATTTATTTATTCATTCATTCATTCATTCATTCATAAAGAAGAAACATTGATTTGTTGTGTCATTTATGCATTCATTGGTTGATTCTTTTTTTTAAATACTCACTCAAAGATATGATTTACTGACTTTTAGAGAGGGAGATGGGGAGAGAGAGAAACATCAATGTGAGGGAGAGATATTGATTGGCTACCTCCCGTACACACCCCAACCAGGGACTGAGCCCCCAACCAAGGTATGTGCCCTGACAGGAATCTTACCCCACTTTGTGATCTATGGGACAATGCTCTAACCACCTGAGCTACCTTCCAACATTTGTTGGTTGATTTTTACATGTGCCCTGAACTGGAGATCAAACATGCAACCATGGTGTATCAGGATGAAGCTCTAACCAACTGAGCTACCTGACATTTAAGGGCTTAAAGTTTAGCCTTTAATTCTTATCACTGGCAGACTCATTCAATGCACAAGCAAGTTGGCTTACTTGTCATGATCCATGGATGGCTACAGTATGTGAAATGACAGGAAAGCCAAGATGAGCATGCACTCACCTAGCATCCCATATAATAAAAGCCTAATATGCTAAGTATCCAGTTGTCTGGTCATCAATTCAACCAATCAAAGCATAATATACTAATGATATGCTAAGACCCTTCAACCACTCGTTATGCATTGACCACCAGGGGGCAGATTCTTCAACCAGTAGGTTAGCTTGCTGCTGGGGTCCGGTCAATCGGGCCTGAGCAAGATGGGCCAGACATGCCCTGGACCCCTCCCGTGGCCCCTCCCTGGCTGGCCAACCTCCCACGACACTCCCTGGCCCCTATAGTGCACCAGTGGGGTCCCTCAGCCTGGCCTGCGCCCTCTCGCAATCCGGGACCCCTCAGGTGATGTCAAAGAGCCAGTTTCGGCATAAAAGGCTAATATGGAAATAGACCAAACAGCAGAATGACTGGTCAGTGCGCTCCCACAGGGGGAGCACCACTCAGCCAGAAGCCAGGGTCACAGCTGGCAAGCCTCTCCCGCCTCCACAGCAGCGCTAAGGATGTCTGACTCAGGGGTGGGCAAATTTTTTGACTCGAGGGCCACAATGGGTTCTTAAACTGGACCAGAGGGCCGGAACAAAAGCATGGATGGAGTGTTTGTGTGAACTAATATAAATTCAAAGTAAACATCATTACATAAAAGGGTACGGTCTTTTTTTTTTCTTTCAGTTTTATTCATTTCAAACAGGCCTTATCCGGCCCACGGGCCGTAGTTTGCCCACGGCTGGACTCTGACTGATGGGTTAGGCCCGCTCACTGCACCCGGCCTCTAGTTTAGAGTATAAGAAATAGAGGGCTTTCAGGATGATTTTACTTTTTAAGATAATTTTTGTACTCATCTAGTACTTGTTGATCTAATTTTAATTAGTATTTATATCCTTGAAATAATTTTTTGTTGATTGGTGTGGAAAACTATTTCTTAGTTTATAATAAAATATAATAGTAAGTTTACTAAAATTTACTTCGTAGTCCCCTTTTGTAGAAGAAATTCCATAAAATCTATCTCAACTATCTATTTCAATTTTAAGGGTGATATCATTAAGTACATTAGGAAGTAGTTAATTAAAGCAAATGTACATTTCCATCTAGAACTTATAAAGGCTCTGCAATAGTCAGAAAAGCAAATTATACAATAGCATGTTATTGATGTTGTAACACTTGTCAGTAAGTTTCTAAGATTTGCAGAGATTGTCTTATTAATTTCTATACATTTAATGCCTACATATGCCTACTGCATAATATGTTTAACAGCTTTCTAAATACAGCTTTCTTTTTCTGTTTTGTTTTTAATAATTCTAATAGCATTGTAAGGAAAATGGTGACTGGACCAAATTGGGAAATTTATACCTGAAGGTAAAAATGGACTGTGAAAAATTTGTAGATTTCCAGAGATTTTGTACTTGTGTTGCTGAAACACTAACAAAAGGCTATAAAGAAGAAAGACCAAGTGTTCCATTTTGTGAATTTGCTCAAACAGGTAAAATGTCACTGTTTTGGTATGAGTTTTGTGTGTTAGGGTAATGTAATATTCTTAACAGGAATGTAAAGCTCTTAATATTTCCCATGTTGAGGATAAGTTAATATTGCAGGTTTCAGATACTTTTCCTGTTTATAAATTTTTCCATCTACATATTGTTAAGTTAGGTTAACGATATAAAGTTAAAAATTAGTGTCTTAATATCAGATGTTTCATGTTCTTATTTTTCTTTTTATTCAGATTGGTAAAACTGTTGTTAGCAAATTATATTGGAGCACCTGAATTTTTGAATCATTAAAATTGTTACAGTCTTCACTATTACAAGTCACCAAAATTCATATATTTTTGAAATTTTATTTTTACGTGAACTCTTTACTGCTATATTCTTTATTAGGGGCTGGCAAACTTTTTCTGTAAAGAACCAGATAGTAAATATTTCAGGCTTTGCACACATCACATATGATCTATGTCACTTTTTTTTTCTTTTCAAAAAAACCCTTAAACATTAAACTAAAGAATTCTTAGTTCGGATGTGAGGGCGATCTGGCTGCGACATCTGTCACCCCATTGATCGCCAGGGTTGATTCGGCTGATCTGGCTGGCTGGCGGGTGTCCCCCTCCTCCCTCACCGATCCAGGTGCATCCCTCCCGAAGAAGTCTTAGTTCACAGGCTATATCTAAAAACAGACCACAGGCCACATTTGGTCTGTGGCTATAGTTTGCTGACACCTGGTGTTTGTGCTCATATCATTAATTCCATATTAACTTGCCTTTTCCATTTTTTAAGTGACTATTTCACTTTCTTCCATATGCCTACTTTGTGTTTCAGTGAGCAAAGATCCGCAAAATAGTGAAGTAGATAAAACTTTGCTGGGAAGAATCGGAATCAGTGCTATATACTTCTATCACAAGCTGTTGCAGTGGTCCAAGGTACTTTAAATTTTTGTTTTGGCTTGGTATTGAAAGTGTTTCAAATTTTTGAACAGAATATAGGTTAAGTTAGGAATTTGCTGCTAATCATCACAAGTGACTAAATGACTCCCAGACCAGTAAGTGAATTATTAGGTGCTATATTAGGCAAATGTGGAAAGAACATGGCATCAGACTGACTACTATGAAGAATTTCAGTGTAGTAAACACTTAGGAAACTGTGCTAAATATATTTATTTGAAGCAACTTTCAATTCAGAATTTATTTCCTCAGCTCCTGAGTAGCATTGTAATTTTGCAAGAGTTCAAGACACCTTTTTAAAGATAAACCCAGGATATTCACAATTAATAGAGCTCCTTTAAAATCACCTCCTAGAATGCTCTTGGAATACTATATACTATATATCTTGATGTCTGCCTTTGAAGTTAGCTCACCATAAAAGTGGTCTAGTGATTCCAGACCATATTACACTACCATTCTTTAGATTTCCATGAGAGGTGGTGGGTAGGATTAGATTTAGTAAACTTAAGTAGAAGATAAGAAATCCAAAATTGGAAGTAAGTGCTGAGGGATGGAATAACATATATAGAGTGGGACAGTTGAGAGAATGCTCATTATTGAATCAACTATTAATATGTATCTTTTGTTATTTTCTTCTTATAAAATGGTTATTTCAAAGTTGAATGAGTTCAATGACATTTAAGTACATGGTCACTCATACACATACAAAAGTCATGAACTTTTTAAAATTAAAAACAACAGCAGAATCATTGTAGAAGGTCCTCAGTCTCTAAAGTCTCCAAGAGGTTTAGTACTGTGCTTGCTTCGGCAGCACGCCTACTAAAATTGGAATGATAAAAGATTAGCATGGCCCCTGCGCAAGAATAATACGCAAATTTGTGAAGCGTTCCATATTAAAAAAAGAAAAAGAGGTTTAGTACTCTTCGTATAGTAGGCCTGGGATGGGCAGAATGTATCTTGTCCCAGGTCTCACAACCTAGTTTAAGTTTGATCTTAGCATTAATATCTTGGACATTTAATGCGTGAGAAATTAAGGACTACCTAACAAGAGGACCGTTTTTAAAAACACAGATTGGCCCTAACCTATTTGGCTCAGTGGATAGAGCATCAGCCTGCAGACTGAAAGGTCCCAGGTTTGATTCAGATCAAGGGCATGTACCTCGGTTGCAGGCACATCCCCAATAGGGTATGTGCAGGAGGCAGCTGATCAGTGTTTCTCTCTCATTGATGTTTCTAACTCCCTATCCCTCTCCCTTATGCTCTGTAAAAAATTAATAATATATATATATTTTTTAAAAACACATTGATTTTGCTCATATTTTAATTTTAATAGGTTACTATTTCTTAAGAGGCTGGTGAATTTCTATTTTAATTAAAATTTTTCACTATCGTATTTAGAACAGATATTCTTAGTTTTTTTAATGAAACCTAGCTTTTTGAACATAAAAGTAAAACCATTGAAATTAAACTAAAGCAGCTAACTCTTAAAGTGCACTATTTATATTGTCAAATTAGAAGTACCTTAACATTATAATATGCATCTGACTCAAAATAGTGTAACATAATATAAAACAAGGGTCTTCAAACTAAGGGCCAAGTCTGGCCCACAGCCTGTTTTTGTATATCTTGAGAGCTAAGAGTGTTTTTTACATTTTTTTAATATTTTTTATTTTATTATGATGATTATTATTTATTATTATTATTATTTTAAATTGATTTCAGAGAGGAAGAGAAAGGGACAAATAGAAACACCAGTGATGAGAGAGAATCATTGATTGGCTGCCTCCTACACACCCCCACACTGGGGATCAAGCCTGCAACCCAGGCATGTGCCCTTGGCTGGAATCGAACCCAGGACCCTTCAGTCCACAGGCCAATGCTCTGTCCACTGAGCCAAACCGGCTAGGGCGTTTTTTACCTTTTTTAAAGAGTTAGACATTAAAAACAATAACCAAAGAAAATGTGCAACGGATCGGATGTGACCTGCAAAGCCTAAATTATTTACTCTCTGGCTGTTTATAGAAAAAGTTTGCTGACCCCTAATATAAAATAATAATATATGTCCAATTTCTGATGTGCAGACTAGAGATAATCTTTATGTCGTCTACATGAAGTAATCTGTTCAGTCAAAGAAACAGTTTTCAGCCAATAATCTTATCCTTTTTTTTCACTATCATTCTTTATCTGAATTTGATAATAAATTGTCTTCATTTTCTTTTTCTCTCCCTCCTGGACCTCAGGATGATCAACAGAAAAAAGTGCAAGACTTATAATTAGTAATTTTCCACAGCAAGGCATGAAATCCTTGTGCCAAATGAAATCTTTAGGGGAAGCACAATGTATAAAACACATGAAGGGAGAACTGCTGAAAGGGGTCCCAGGGTGGGTGAGGAGTAATATGAACAAAGCCCTGCTTGCTTCCCTTCCCTTTCCACCCTTGTGGTTGAGCAGGCAGGGGCTTAAGTAGAGTCTTGGAGCAGTTTGAGAGCTGTCTGTCTAGAACAGCGGTTCTCAACCTGTGGGTCGAGACCCCTTTGGGGGTCTAACGACCCTTTCACAGGGGTCGCCTAAGACTATCGGAAAACACATATATAATTACATATTGTTTTTGTGATGAATCACTATGCTTTAATTATGTTCAGTTTGTAACAATGAAAATACATCCTGCATATCAGATATTTACATTACGATTCGTAACAGTAGCAAAATTACAGTTATGAAAAAGCAACGAAAATAATTTTATGATTGGGGGTCACCACAACATGAGGAACTCTACCTGGATAAGGAAGCCGTGGCACATAGAGACAATGGAATATTAATCAGAATAAAAAGAATAAAATCTTACCATCTGCAACACTATGGATGGCCTAGAGCAGCAATTTTCAACCTTTTTCATCTCATGGCACACAAACTAATTACTAAAATTTTGCAGCACACCAAAAACATATATTTTTTGCTGATCTGACAAAAATAGGTATAATTTTAATTCATTCACACCGGATGGCTATTGTTGTGTTGGCTGTTGTCATTTTTATTTGACATTGTAAGGGATAAAAGGTCAGTACCCCTGACTAAAATAGTCAGGTATTGCATGTTTTTAAAATTTTTGAGGCACACTGATTGAAAATAGCTGCCTTTAGTTGGTATTGAATTGTGGGTGATAATTTGGTCTAAACCCTAGTGGTCATGTAGATAGGAAGATGAAAGGAGAAAGTTAACCTAGCTTTAAAGAAGAAATTGTATGAAACTTTGTTGAAAAGCTAGTTCTTACATTCTTTTGGCACCATACTAAATTCTTTACATACTAATTATCTAAGCTAATCTTCATAGAAGCCCTATGAGTTTGGAATTATTACAATTTCCATTTTATGGATTTAAAAAAATGTTGTCAGAGCCCTAGCTGGTTTAGCTCAGTGGATAGAGTATCAACCTGCGGACTGAAGGGTCCCAGGTTTGATTCTGGCCAAGGGCACATGCCTGGGTTGCGGGCTTGATCCCCAGTAGGGGACATGCAGGAGGCAGATGATCAGTGATTCTCTCCCATCATTGATGTTTCTATCTCTCCCTTTCTGAAATCAATGAAGATTTATTTTTTTTAAATGTTATCAGAGACATTAAGCAATTTGTCCCAAATGACATAAGGAGTGGAGGCCAGATTCAAACCCAGACAATCCAGGTTTAGAGCCTGCAATCTGCATAAATTCTATATTTGCAAGTACAGGCAAACATGACTTCCAGTGAAGATAAGCAGAGCTTACTTTCTCTGTAAATTAATCCATCCAGCAAAAATTAAAATGAAATTAAGCCAACAAAACAACTAAGGTTTGTTTGGTAGTAGTAGCACAGCATGGTATCTAACGGTAACTGGCTACTTAGACTATCGGGTAGATTTTATTTGATAAAATGGGATAAGAATGCCCTAGCTGGTTTTGCTCAGTGGCTAGAGCATCAGCCTGCAGACTGAAGGGTCCTGGGTTCGAGTCCAGTCAAGGCATGTACCTCGGTTGCAGGCTCCTTCCTGGCCTGGGCCCTGGTCGGAGCACATGCAGGAGGTAACTAATTGATGTGTATCTCTCACATCAATCTTTCTCTCTTTCTCTTTCTCTTACACTTTAGAATCAATGGAAAAATATCCTTGGTTGAGTATTTAAAAATGTTAAAAAAAATGGAATAAAAATAAGAGACCTCGAGAATTCAGGTGGGAAGATGGAATATATGCACAAGTAAAGCAAGTAGATAACCTTTACACTAACCCACAAACACATACTGGCACATCTCCATATTCATATTGGTGGTTTGTTCAGTGCCTAATACAGACGTCATGAGTAGACTTCATGATCAGAAGCTTGTTGGAAAAGGTTTCCTTCAGCTTAACAAACTAGCCAATGAGGTTTGCTAAGTGGGGAAGAGTAAGATATAAAAATATAAATTAGAGAAATGCAAGAGCTTACAAGCTCTGTTAGAAAAAGAAATGTGGCAAGAAAAAGAAAGATTAAAATAGTTGATAAAAATGGCCTTGGGTCGTTCTTTGAAAGGAAACTTCTGCCTGAAAGTTTCTCGCACAACTAGTTTTTCTCAAACCAGAGAATGAGGGGAGTTTGTGGGAGAGATGTGGAGTGGTCTGAGGAAGTTTAAAATTCTTACAACTTTGATGTGTCCATTTTGAGATTATCTTTGAAGTTATAAGCACAGGATTCTCTTTTGCAGTGAGCATTTTAATTGAAAGTCATTTTCATATGTAAAATGTTCTTGCTTTAAAAGAAGGGCCCACAGAAGTATGCTAAGTTTTCCCCAGAAATTTTTTGTCTTGAAAGGGTTCTGCAGTGAACAGGCTGTTCTCAAGAAAGAAATACAAATGGCTGAATCTCATTTGTAGTGAGACTTGAGAAGTACACATTAAAATAACAGAACACCTGTCAGTCTAGCAAAGATCAGTTTGATGATTTGCTTTTTATGAGGGCATATTGACATGGGCATTAACATGCATTGTTTAGGAGCTTTTTGGCAAAATACCTGTCAAAATTGAAAATGCATATAGGGATAGTTTCTATTTAAAAGTAAACATTATTTTAAAAGTAAATCAACCAACAAGTTCTCATCGTAAGTAATAATATATGTGAAATCACAGATTTTTATATTTAAGGTGATCCTTTTTAGAATTAGTATAATACACAAATAAATTATTAAACATAGTGTAACATCTAAAATTAATTCAGGTACCATCAATGATGTATATATCACACTTAGGAAAAGTCAGGATTTTTTTTTTGCATTTTTGTTTGTTTTCTTTTGCCCAACTGACATTTTCTGTTTAACATAAACTGCTTTTTAAATCTTTAATAGTTTTGTTTTGTATCGTGTGTTAGGCAGTTCTTGGCTATCTCAAAATTACATATTCACTCATATGGTTTTTAAATTTTTTATTGTTACTTTTAAATTTTGATATGAGGTGGGAACCTAACTTTATCTCTTTTCCCCAAATGTTCCAACTCATCCTCTACTCACTTATTTGAAATGCTACTTTTATCATATATTAGAATCTTATATCTTCTTGGGTCAGTTTCTATACTACTCTCCCAGAGATCTCGTTTTCTGTGCTAGCACCATATTCTTTTTAGTTAATACAGCTTTATTTATTTATTTATTTATTTTAGTTAATACAGCTTTAGAATAGGTGATAATATTTATCTTTATCTTTCTTACTATTTTTTACTATTCTCAACTTTATCCTTTGGGATGTATTGAGTCAGTTTTGTTGACCTATTTGGTCAGGATTATATTAAATGTATACATTTAGAGGAGAATGGATATGTTTTATTGTTTTTGGAGTTTTTTTATATTTTTATTCATTTCAGAGAGGAAGGGAGGAGAGAGAGATAGAAACATCAGTGATGAGAGAGAATCATTAATTGGCTGCCTCCTCTATGTCCCTTACTGGGGATCAAGCCCACAACCTGGGCATGTGCCCTTGATGAAATCAAACCTTCAGTCTGCAGGGTAATGCTCTGTCCACTGAGACAAACCAGCTAGGGCAAGAATGGATATGTTTAGATATCTCTCCCCTCTCCCTCAATCATAGTATTCACCATAGTAAAGGATAGTTATTTGCTTGTCTCACGGACTAGCCTGGAAATTCATTCAGTGCAGACTGTCTTTATAGTTTTTCATTCTCAGTGCCTACATTCAAAATCTTCATGGTAATGACTGAATACCTATTATAAAAAATTTGATTCCCTTTTGACTCATTTTTACACAAATGGAAATATTTCCCAACTATGGAACAGAGGAAAACAGGATTAATGCAGTAAGAACTTTCCTCACCATAAAACTAGTATTAAGTACACCATAAACTGGCTTTTATTCTTAAGAATGTATTGTTATAAGTGTTCTTATAAAATTTGCATAAAAGTATTTTTGTTGATAAAGTTGTGAACTGATTGAATTAAGCTTATTAATTTCCAAATGACTTCTCAACTATTGGTTTCATTTAACTTTGCTATAAAATAATGAACTGATTCAGATTTTTTAATATAGCTACACAATTTGGTAAGATTTCAAAATGAATCTCCTAAAATATATTAGTCTTTGAAAAATGTATTATTCTACCTTAACAATAAACAATGAGTGCTAAATAAAGAACAATGAAATTTTTATGAAAAAAAAGACCAAAGTATATATTTTGTGTCATATATCCATCAGATCTAAGAAAAAATAAGGAACTTCAGCATTATAGGTGATAATCTCTTTTTTTAAGCTGTGTGATGGGCACATAAGAGTCATTTAACTTACATATGTTAGACATTCTTCTATACATATCAAATATTTTATGATAAAAATTGTCTTTAAAATTAGGAGGAAAAGCTGTTCCCCAAGAATAGCAAAACTAATTATGTATTCTGTATTATAAAATTGTTGAAGTTTTCCACACAAATATTATTTTACATTATTACAAGTATGTTATAATATGAACATTTTTGTCCTATAAAAATAAACATTAACTTCTTAATCAATAACTGACTGGTATACTAAGAAAATAAATAATTTAAAAATAAGGTATTATAATCATCACTGTATACGTGTTTCTAATAAATTTGAGCCATAGTTATCTTTTTTGAGTACACATATTTTAGTTTTGTCACTTTCCAAAAGGTAAAAACATTAGTTGTGATTATACTAAGTGTAATTTTCATAGTGTAAATAAAGTGTTAGTACTTTTTTCTTTTTCAAAGAGTCAGAATGGATAATCGATACACCACAATGGCCTTGTGATAGACTGGATATACTCAATCGACACAATCTGCTCTGTACAATTGCACATGAAATCTTAGCCAAGAGCCTTTACAGAGAGACATTTGAAGTTTTGCAAAATCTACCAGGTTTTCAAAATTCTCAAGGTATGTTTTTTAAAAGTCTAGCTTAATTATCTCTTGCCCATCTGGTATTTAACTGTTAATAAGAAACAGTTCTCCACCTGTTTTGGTTGAGTTTTATATTCCAGCATATATTTTTAATGAAGTTGTTTTCTGTAAAATCTGTTTTCTGCAAATTGAATATGCTTTCCTGATGGTTTAAAAAACGAAAAGCAGCCCTAACCAGTTTGGCTCGGTGGATAGAGCGTCGGCCTGCGGACTGAAGGGTCCCAGCTTCGATTCTGGTTAAGGGCATGTACCTCGGTTGTGGGCACATCCCCAGTAGGTGGTGTGCAGGAGGCAGCTGATCGATGTTTCTCTCTCATTGATGTTTCTAACTATCCCTCACCTTCCTCTCTGTAAAAAATCAATAAAATAAAAAAAACAACAACCTTAAATGGCACACTAGATCAGATGGATTTCATTGACATTTACAGAAG